GTCGTCCAAGCAGAGCGGTAGCAGCTTTTACTCCGGAAAGCAGAGCTTTCACAGCTCTGAAAGCACAAGCTCGGGACAAATGGGTCCAACCACTGGAGAATCGTAGGGCTCCAAGAAAGCCAATATAGATCATGTTTATAGATTCCAGGTTTTTTGTACAGACTTTCAAGCTGAGCACCAAGGAAGGCAAACCGGTGGAAACAGTACATCGTTCACTGTTGTTTCAACAGTCAGGGGAAAATAAGCAAACTACGCTCTCTACTGTGTCCAGAGACGTGTAACCTGACAGGCGAGAAGAGGGGTATATCGCAGGGGACCATCACATACATATGGAGCGTGTATTAATTCATGGAGACGTACACATCGGTACAGTAAAAGCCTGAACATAGTGGTCCCAGAGTCCTTGTATAACTACAGTAATTTCACGGTACCTCTAGGAGGCCTCGAAACGATATCGGCAATCATTCAGCATCCGACAAGCCTTTAAAGCAACCCATATATTCCCCAGTTTGCATTAAATCCCATACTTCTTCCATCTGATTCTCCGTTATCGGCAAATGTTTAGACCCCAGACGCTACACCCCATATATCCACTCTAGTTGACCCTTCTTGATTGTCCCAACTAAAACTCTAAACCCCCAACCCTTATTACTCCGGTCCCTAAATACTCAGGAAGATGCAGCAAAAGGCCCAGGAGTGCCAGGCCATACCATGGGAGAGTTTAGGGTTTTGGGCTTTAGGGTTTAGGGTTTAGGGGTTTGGGGTTTAGAGTTCATTACCACAGCTTGGGGCATGGCGGGGGTTCATTTTGAGCTTAACTGTCTGAAAATTTGAGGTCAAGGAAAATTGCCTGACATCGTAGTCGTAGGGCTGCTTTGAGGACCAAAATTTGAAATACAACCCTTTCCTCTCGCAAAAGCTCCTATGGGCACATCGCTGGGCAATCGTGGGGTATGCATCAACCGCTTCTGAAACAGTCTGCACACCCTCGCGACCGGTGAAGCTACCTTGTTCTCCTTCAACCCCAACCCTAAACTCTAAAGCCCTAAACCCTAAACCCTGTCCTGATGCCAGCCTTAGAGCTGTGGGAGTTTCTCAAAATAGGGGTACCGGCGGGACCCTAAGCATATGAGCTTTAGTCTAAACTCCTTAACGGGGGATCTATAGGAGATTGTATAGGGTTTAGGGTTTAGGGTCTGAACTCCTTAAAGGGGCATATATAGGGGATTATATAGGGGACTACTATAGGGGATATTAAGGGTGATACTCGGAGTTTAGACTATAGCTCATATAGACGGCTAACATGCAGACTACGCAGGTCCCTACTCACGATTATACAGGGATTATTCCGAAAAGCTCCCAAAGAACTCTGATTGTTAGGTTTCCGGGCCCGAAGACCATGCTATACACGGCGTTTGGGCTACTGTGCGCCTGCGGGATAGATCTAGTCCCTGGACCCTACGACAGCAATGCCCCGCCCCTCAAGAAGACTCCCCCGACCCCCCAACCCTGCCAGACCCCTAAAGAATGCATACCCCCATTACAATACCGTGGTAGATTATGCAGAACAGTTATTGTTAAGGGGGCTCGGAGGTTGTTTTGACAGAGAGGGGATTAGAACATCCGCCAGCAGGTTGAGCAGGTGCTGCCTTATGCGGGTGGGCGTATGAAGACTTCGATGAAGGACTTGGTCTCTTTAGGGTGTGGGATTTAGGTGGCTTCCTCAACCCTACACCCTTAACGTTGAATGTTAAGATCCCTTTTTAGCAAACTTCCAGGCTTCCAGCGACTGCCGGGCTGACAATTTCGATCCACAAGTTAGCAGAACTTGAGAACTTATCCAACTAGGGGTCTCAGACGTGCCACAAAATACTGCAATGTAGAGCCATGATTAATAAACCCCCTCCTTTTTGGGGCCTTCATATTCGGATTCCTATTATAATCCCTATTAAGCGGAGGGGGTTGATTAATCAGGGGTCTGGGGTAGCCCTGAAGGTTTCGGATTTATGCTTTGCACAGGCAAACCCAAACACCGTTCATCAGAGCTACAGTCTAAACCCCTTGAATGGGAATATCTCGGAGGCTACATAGGGTTCCTATTGCAGGCTTATTATGGGGGATACTAGGAGTTTAGACTATGGATCATCTCAAGAAAGTCTAGCCTCAGGAGGTATAGAGCAGATTCAGGGGGCCTTCAGATACAGGCTGCCATTGTTGATACAACAACTTTAGGGCTAAGGATTTAGGGATTGGTGGGTTGATAGGTCTGAGGATTCTGCGTTCAGAGGGATGATCTTAAAGTTCCGCCGTGACGTTAAGTACCTTATACCCAGAGAATTGTAGTAGTATAGTCCTCTAAGGCCATGCAAGGTTCGAAGTGTCACTCGTAAGTCAGCGCCTGGGGAAATGCACGGACCCTATAGTTGGAACAGGGACATTGGGCTTCTTGGATCGCTAGGATGATTGCACAGGGGTTCTTCAACGCCCTAACCCCTAGAAGCCCAGTTACCTATATATTGGGTTTCTGTCCTTAAGTCCCTATATCAATTTATAGTATCTATAACCCAAGGACCTTAAGTCCCTATATCAATTTATAGTATCTGTAACCCAAGGACCTTAAGTCCCTATATCAATTTATGGTATCTATAACCCAAGGACCTGCTATATGGGTACCTGGGCTCCTCAGGTAAACTAAACCCTAAAGCCCCACCGGCGACTAGTATTCATGCTCCTAGGCTTCGGCATTCGGCTTCCGTGTCTGTAGATTTTTCCTGACAATCCCAACATGTTCTCAATGTATGATATTGGGGTAATATTGGGATTATATTGGGATTATATTGGGGATAATGGAAAATTCAATGGAAACTTCTGTTAGGGTTTGGTGTCGATATGATCTTTGTGAGGGGCGCGCTATTGTCTGGGCTCTACCTGCAAACAGAGGAGGTTCATATCAGAAGCATAGCGGCATGGACTATGGCTTGCTGACAGTGCTCTTGGAAGGCTTCCTGGATAATGTAGCCAGAGCTTTAATACTTTAAGCCATAGAATCCCATAGAAGGCCCAACCTCCTAGCCCTAGAGGACTGGCAAGCCCCTAACCCTGAACCCAGAAACCCTATGTAGACCCCAGACCTATAATGTAAAAGCTTGTGGATGGTTGACCCACCTTTTCGCTTCTGACATGTACTTCGCGCTATTCTGATACATCGCGCATATCCAGCCTCAAACCTGGGGTTCCCCAAATTAGGGGTACCTTTATAGAAGATAACAGGGTTATGTAGGGGTAATTTAGGGGTCATGTAGGGTTTCGGGTTTCCGAAAATTAGGGGGGCTCCTTATAACAAGGATTATAGCATTTGGGGGTCTATGTTGAGGTCTCCCTGTTTTGGGAAACTGCCATATAGGTGCCAAAGACTCGTGTCTTAGCAAAGCTATAGTTTCAGCTTCGTTCCCTTCTAGTGTTAAATCATGCCGTTTAGGGTTTAGGGTTCAGGGTTTAGGGTAGTTCTATCTGTCCATACACAAATCTGACAGCAGGATCGCACTTCCATTGGTGATCGGATCAAAGAGGTGCAACAGGGGGTTAGATGCCTCTCCTTTCTGCTGCTTAAGTTGGAGCAGGGGAGTAGATCCCCAGGAAAAGCCTTATCCAGAATGATTTATAACTGTGGATCCTACCAGGGTTCGGGGAAGGAGTTGTGATCCCCTCTCCTCCTGACCCCAGCAATAAGCCTCTTCCTGATGATAACTTTCCCAGCCTGTTAAACGACAAAAAAATCATTGTTAGGTGTAGGGCCTCGGGTGTGGGAGTACTGGTACGAGATTGGATTTTTCAGGGTTCGGGATGAATGCTTGGGGGATAGGGGTTGAGGCTAGGGTTGAGCTTAGGCCGCGCGAGGCCTGGGGTGTAGAGATTCAGAGCACAATCAAGCTGCCGATTAAGAGGCGAGGGTTTGGAGGCTAGAGTCTAGGTGATAAGTACCGAGGGGTTGTGCGTTGATTTTGTTAAGGACGTGTCTGAACACCAAAAACGGGGCAGTGCGGTCGTACTGCACAAAACGCCATAGCTTCGACAACTCAAACAGCACGACGCCTCATGCGCGAGGGAGAGAGAGTGAGTGAGAGTGTGCGTGTGTAATTGCAGCTGAACAAGGCAAAACCTCCCCTCCACTACTACTTGGTTTTCCAACTCCAGGCGTTTCTTCCGTAAAATTGAGGTGAAATTGAGGCCCCGTTCGAAGGACGGCATAGTGCATAACACTGCGGCTGAGAACACGCTTGATCACGTGAGGTCAAGGGCGCAAAATCTCCAAGCCCTTGCCCCTGAATAGTTCCCAGCCTTGAATAAGGAATGCTTATTTTGTAAGTCTAGCCCCAAGAAAGAGTTTGGGTTGAGGGTTTCGGATGTAAGCTAAAAAGGGTCGGATCCCAGGACAGCCTTATGCTTGCTATGCTAGTCTTGGGTCCTCGTTACTTCAGTCGAGGTTCGGCAGAAATCCCAGAACCTGTGACTTCTTGCTTGGATGGTTTGTTTTTCAATTCCTTACCGACAAATTCTTGGCAAAACCTAAACCCTAAACCCTAAACCTTAAAACCTGAACCCTAAACCCTAAACGAAAAGGGAACTACAAAGGAGCCCCTGGCTATAATCTAAACTCCTTAAAGGGGTTATATAGGGGATTATACAGGGGATATATTGGGATAATTTAGAAAATGGAAACTACTATTTGGGGTTTAGGGTTTAGGGTCTAAACTCCTTAAAAGGGGGTTAAATAGGGGAATATATAGGGGACTACTATAGGGGTTATCAAGGGGGATACTAGGAGTTTAGACAATGGTCCATGTTGAGGGTCTAAAGGCCCCTTGTAAACGAAGGTCCATTTGGGTTACATTGCCTCAAATGGAGAAGCCAACCGACCCTAAAACCCCAAACCCTAAGCCCTAAACCCCTGGGTGGCGACCACCTTCCAGCCGGTCTCCTCGGCCATCCCCTCGTGGGAGGAGTGCCGCGGCCAGCAGGTGGTCTTGACCAACCGCATCAGCACGGTCCTGGAGGCGATGATGATGGAAGAGGTCTGGGCCGAGTCCGTGGGCACCAGCTCCAGAGCCACCCGCGCCTCGATCCTGTCCACCTTCAGCTGGGCAAACATGGGCAACACGGAGGCCGACTTGGGGTCGGCCGCCCTGGCCTGCCTCATCGCCACCATGGCCCTCACCAAGGACAAGGCGAGGGGCATGAGGCTCATGCGCGGCCTCGTGCAGCGCAACGCCACCGGCGCCACCTGGCCTGCTGACTGAGTGACGTCCTTCCTCTGCAGAAGTTGAACTGATAGTCCGCTGCCGCAGTGTAGAGCCGTAGGCTGCTAGCTGTCGGTAGGTAGTCGAGTTGTTGTTGTGTAGTGCCGGACTGGACAGTGTTTGCCATGCATGCGTGTGCGATGCGCGTGTCTAAACCCTAAACCCCTAAACCCTAAAGCCCCAAACCCTAAGCCCTAAACCCTTAAAACTAATTAAACCCGTAACCCCAAACCCTAAACCTTAAACCAACTACCCCAATTTTCATTGTTTGCTTCTGTAGGCACTGGATGGCCTATTGAAGACGGAGGTGGACTCGAAAGATGCCACACGGCTTCCCGGCTTCTCACAAGACTCGCCACGCCCAAAGCAAGTATTATTAGGGTTTAGGGTTTTGGGTTTGGGGATGTTTGAGCCCAAAACTAAACTACTTAAAATGAGTTATAAAGGGGGATTATATAAGGGACTGCTATAACAAGGCATCTTAAGGGGGATGCTAGGAGTTTTTTCACGGTGGCTCATTTAGGGATCTCTCTGACCCCCTCCCCCTTATTCCGAGCTTCTAGAATTTTGGGTCCCAATGAAGCTGAGCCCCGGCAAAGGTGGTTTGGAGAAAGCAGGCCATATAGTATAGGAACGGTATATAGGAACTATCTGTGGGTAGCAAGGCTGTAGCATTGTAGTGGAGACTAGAAGGGTATTAAACCGTGAAGTTACGGTGGTTTAGGATTTGGGACATAGAGAAAACCGAGCTATAGCCAGGCGATTTCTTTCCGTCTCGTTATACCTACCCCCATGGATAAACCTAGTCACTCGTGTTATAAAATCTGCCTACTCACAGTACCAATAGCAGACAAGGGAGCCGGCATGAGAGCAACAGCAATAGCAGCAGGCAGTAGGAGGAAATGTTTTAGTAGAAGGAGACATGCAATCCTACATCTTAAGCCCTAAGCCCGAACGCCCATTCGTAAATTGGATGATTCCAGTCCCACATCCTGGGGCCTCCTTCCCTAAGCGCCCCAACCCTATGTGCTAGACCTTGGACCCTAAACCCCAGAGCTTCAAGCCTACCGCCTTGAGCCCTAATAAGCCCCAAAGCTTCAAGCCTACCGCCTTGAACCTTAAAGCCGCAACCCCAAACCTTCAACCCGAAACCCCAAAACTTCAACCCCTATCAACTGCTAAGGGTCCAAGGACTCAAATAATGGGGTTTTAGGGCCCAAGTACTTCAAGCTGAATGGTATTTGGTTGGGACCTCAAACCCTAATATTTGGCTCCTTAGGCCCTAAGCCCTAAACCCTAAACTCAAAGCCAGAAAAGGCTCCTCCACTTCGCCCGCGCGGCGTCTGACGTTGGGCTGGCGGCTGCGGCTGCGGAGGCACGCGCTGACGCCCGGCACAGCCCTGGGCAGGATAGCGCCCAAGTGGACTCCATAATGTTTAGGGTAGGGGACAAAAGTCAGGGCCAAAAAATGAAACTACTACATTTTCTGATGATTATGTAGGGAATATGTTAGGTCTGATGATGACGTAGGGAATATGTTAGGTTAGGGAATGAAGGATCCGCGCAAAAGTGGAACTAAATGCATAGATTTCTGGGAAATAAATAGAATATCCAGTCTGCTACTGGCAACCAGGAAGTGTAGGTTCTATACGGTATAAACGGTAAATTGTATGCCTTATATAATATATACTCAACATTCTAAGGGGTTCCATATGACCACTTTGAGGCCTATAACATGATATTCCATGATGCTTGGTAGTCACATATACCCGACAGAAAGGCAGGCCCCCCCAAAAAAAACAGGACCAGGGATCACAGGGGATGTACGGGGATGATACATGTATTACCAAGATCACCTCTGGGGGGGATTCTGCAGGAATTGGGGTTTAGGGTTTTGGGCTTAGGGCTTCGGGGTCGGGGATTCTGAGGTAGGATAGAATTATTCAGGTTGTAGAACTGGGTTGCTGTAATCTTGAGTCCCTTCTTAATTCGGTGGATACTCAAATCCTGAATCATGTTCTTACAGGAAATGGGACTCTGCAGAATGTTTCGTGTCAGCAGCACAGTTGCGTGTTGTCTTGAACTTACCCTGATGGAAGTCACATGAGCAGCGTTTTTTCTGCATGAAAGAGACATGATGGCCGTGAAGCTGCACGAGTGCTCGCGCAGCCTCGGGCCTGCAGGGCGTAGTCTCGCGTAGTCACGTGTAGGTTATCTGCTCCGAGTCGTCTGCGTAGTTTGTATGTTTCATAAGACATGTTGCGTTGAACGTTGTGTAGGCCAGGTGTGCCGCCTAGTCTCCCCGCGTAGTCTCTCAACCATTCCGCGTAGTTCGCGTAGGCCCTCCATGTTAGTATAAGAGCTTTATAAGGAAAAACAAGGCTCATATGGCTTGCCTCAAGCCTGAATGTCCTCGTTGGAGCGCATAGGTAGGCTGCAAGTACCCTGGAGGGAGAGGCTGCTTCTTTTGAAGCCAGTCAGCCATGTGGTAAATTCCTGGACTTTGGGATATGTAGATTAGGATAGGAGTAAGGAATGTTCAGCAGTATCCCCACATGTGTGTGCATGTTTCTATGCATGTAAGTTAGTGGGCTTCGTTTTCGCCACCATTTCTGTTTACTTGGGGGTTTGAGGTGCGGCTGAATTCCTCCTTCCTCCCTGAAGACAAGGAAGCCAACTCCAGACAGTAGAAGCCCGGGCCTCTAGGACCCCCGTAAAATTCAAGCCTCAAACCTGAACAGCCCCAAACCAATATCCCTGTTGATGCCCAAATCCCTCAACCACTCCGACCTACATCCTCAAACCCTAAGCCCTAAGCCCTATAAACCCTACACCACCCCTTTAACAGCCGAGGAAATGCGGAAGATCTTAGAAGAGCTTCAAGAGAGTACTTCAACAGAGCTCATCGCTCAGTTCAAGGCGCAAGAGTAAAGGCTGAGGTTACAGGTTAAGGGTGTAGGATTTAGGGTTTCAAGCTAGACCTTCCTTCTACCCTTTATATACCTTAAATACCCACCATAAGGGAGCATATACCCCTACTTAAGGGTACAAGGAGGGTACTGGAAGACGCATAGAGTGGGGGAGGTGCCTGCTGAGTTTGCCACGACATGCAGCCTTGCTTCTCAGGGCTCACCAAAGGTTGAGACGCATTATCGTTACCCCTTATTGCCGGCCTGGACGTCATTGTCCTGAGTTCTTGCCGATGTTGAAGTAAAACAAGGTGACCACGTTTGCTTCGTTTAGGGGAGAAAAGGGCCTCGCAGAAAAGCATCTTATCCAAAACCGGTCCGAACTGAGCATCCCAACTGTTGAATGTGGTTCGAGAATTTAGATTGAATTGAACAGGTGTTGGTTTCGTACTAGGGGGCGGGGGGTGGGTAGGGCGCGGGTACGATTGACACCTAAGAAGCCAACACTTTGCACTGACGGCGTCCCAAGCCCTTGGTTGAGATAAAACTCAAGACTCTAAACACATATGCTCAAACAATACCCTAGGACGTGAGGCCACAACAGGCCAAAAGGCCTCGCTTGCGGTGCCTTCTCTTTTAGCCTGTGGGCTTATGGAAGGATAAACTGGCCACCAGCTAAAAGGTATCCCTAATATTGGGCTCCAAATCATAAGCCCTAAACCTTAATCCCAAAATCCTAAACCCTCTGTCACTCCTACATACCCCTTTTTAAAGGTACCCTCTGACCTGGGGCTCCCAACAGTGAGCACTATCATAAGCCCTACACCCCACACCCTAAGCCCTATAGAACCCTTATACACCCTTATATACCCCTTTTATAAAAGGTACCCTAAACCCTAAACCCTAAACCCTAAACCCTACCCTAAACCCCAAGTTGGGGCTCCAACAGCGAGGCAGCGGCAGAAGCCGCCGGCGACGCCGACGCCGTGGCCCTGGCCTCGGAGGGCTTAGCCGCCGTGGAGGAGCGTCCCTGGGCTTTGACAGAGGGTTTAGGATTGAGGATTGAGGATTTAGGGTTTAGGGTTTAGGATTTAGGGTGTAGGGTTTAGGGTTTTGGGTTTAGGGTTCAGGGTTTAGGGTTTAGCGTTCCTGGGCTCGGACAGGGGGTTTAGGGATAATGGAAAAGAAAATGGAAGCTACCATATTATATAGGGGTTATATTGGGCATATATAGGGGTAATGGAAAATAGAATGGAAACTACTGGGGTTTAGGGCTTAGGATTGAGTTTAGGGTTTAGGGGTCCCAGGGCTCTGACAGAGAACCCCCATGTAGGTATCCCCGTAAATGTATTGATAGATATATATATATAGAGACAGAGACAGAGAGAGAGAGAGAGAGATGTATATATATATATATGTATACACAAAAACTTCTATTTATCCGTGTCGATCCCATTACGGTGGGTTACCTGTACTATTCGTCTAAACTCCTGAGAGGGGGTTATATAGGGGACGATTATAGGGGTTACTGAGGGGGATACTGGCAGGACTGCAAACCTCCAGAGAGGGTTTATGTATTTACTTCTATACACGCACATATATGTATACATATATTGTGTACATGGGGTAGCGATATGCAGATACAAGGGTCTATGGGCTATAGGCTTTTACAGATCTGGGCAGGCTTTTACAGATCTGGGAACCCCCTTACCCTGAAGTAAGGATTTCGTATATACCCAAGTCATATCAGGGGTTCTAGCTTCATTTAGAGGATGTTCCTTCATTGAATGGTCCTTGGCTGTCTGGGCAGGACACAAAAACAACCTCGCTGTTTTTTTTGGGGGGGGGTGAAAAGGAGTTAAAAGCTTAATCAGGGTTTAGGGCTTAAGCTTAGGGATTATGGCGGTCATTTATCATCGGGGTATAATGCGCTTCTGGGAGTTTTGAGGATGTAGGGCTGGTGGTTGAGGATTTGCCTGTGGTGTGAAGGGTTCAGGGTGATGTGCAGCGCCTCCTGTCAATTTGTATGAGGTGAAGACCTGGCGAAAATGTTTGTAACATTGACATACCAGCATAACTGTGCGTCATCAA